GGGGCTCATGGGGGGGCTCAGGTCCCTGGGGCTGGGGCCAGGTGTAGGGGAACAAAGCACCCTAAAAGGCGGCTGGGTCAGGGGGACGGCACCCCCAGGTGCCAGAGATGGCTCACGGGAGTGGCCTGGACCTTGAGAGTGCCTGCTCACTGTGTGGCTAAATAACGGGTTGGTGTTCCCAAAACGGCCTCTCCGAGGAGAAAAAGGGGGAAAAAAGGGCTGGTGGTGCTCACCCGCGCGCTGGGGAAGACGAAGTCCTTGCTCAGGCTGCGCTGCGGGTCGCGGTCGTACACCAGCCTCACCTTGCTCTGCACGCTCTGGTATTTGATCAGCTGCAGGACTGAACGCCGGCCGTCAGGAGGGGATCCCCCAGCGCGGGGAGCGCGCCCCCCAGCCCCCGACCCCATACTTTTATCCTGCGGGATGATCTCCTCCGGCGCCCCGCTGCCCTTCTTGGTGACGGTCACCGTGCCCAGCTCCACGTCCACCCTCAGGGCTGCCCGCTGCGACTTGCCCACCTTCACCTGCGGCACCAGGAGGGGTTCCCGAGGCGGCCCCCACCCAGGAGCGATGCTGGTTTCGGGACCACCCCATGCCCTCACCTCGAAGCACTGCACGGCCAGGGGCTTGGTGGCCGGCGGCGGGGCCACCAGGCTGGGCAGCGCCAGGTTGTGCCGCGACACCGTGTCCTGCAGGGACCTCAGCACCTGGCAGCGGGAGGAGAGGGAGCTGGGGACGGGATGGGGGCGGCTGAGGTGCCCCCAGTTTGGGGGAATGGTGGGACTGGGAGTGCAGAGCAGGGGATTGTAGCTGCGGGAAGAGGCTGTGAGGTCTGGCTGTGCCCAGCTCCCCACCCTGCAGGGAGCAGGCACCTTCTTCTCCAGCGATGAGAGGAGGTGGTTGACGGCAGAGATCTTGTTGAGGAGCAGCTCCAGGTCGGGATCGCTGGCCAGAAAGCCCTGGGGAGAAGGAAGGGCGCTCGCTGGGCTCCGTGCTCCCCCCCGCTGGCTCCAGGTGCACAACGAGGCGGGCAGGGACAGGCTCACCCCATCCTGAACCAGGAGTGGGGACACATCCCTGCCTGTCCCAGCAGGAAGCCACCCCGCGTCCCCACCAGGCACACGCAGCACCCTTGGGTGCCCATGGGCACTAAAACCACCCCAAAAACCTTCCCCGTGCCCAGGCGGGATGAGCCCCCGGGGCCTCACCTGCTCCCTGGCCGGGCTGCGAGGGGACGCAGGGGGGTCGAACACCCTGGCCAGGGTCTCCAGCCCCGCCAACGTGAAGTCGATCTCACTGCAGAGAGGTGGGGGAGCGTGAGAGATGGTGTGGGAACGGTGCCCTGCAGGGCATGGGGATGGGATGGGGATGGGATGGGGATGGGGATGGGGATGGGGATGGGATGGGATGGGGATGGGATGGGGATGGGGATGGGGATGGGGATGGAGATGGGGATGGGGATGGGATGGGATGGGATGGGATGGGGATGGGGATGGGGATGGGGATGGGGATGGGGATGGAGATGGGATGGGGATGGGGATGGGATGGGATGGGATGGGATGGGATGGGATGGGATGGGATGGGATGGATGGGATGGGATGGGGATGGGATGGGATGGGATGGGATGGGGATGGGATGGGATGGGATGGGGATGGGATGGGATGGGATGGGATGGGATGGGATGGGATGGGATGGGATGGGATGGGATGGGGATGGGGATGGGGATGGGGATGGGATGGGATGGGATGGGGATGGGGATGGGGATGGGATGGGATGGGATGGGATGGGGATGGGGATGGGGATGGGGATGGGATGGGGATGGGATGGGATGGATGGGATGAGGCGAGTGTCCCCGCAGTGCCTGTGTCCTGTCCCCGTGCCACTCGCCTGTGCAGCGCCCTGCAGGCGGTGACGAGGGCGGTGCTGAGGTGGCGCAGCTGCAGGTGGCCGTTGCGCAGCGCCTCCAGGTCCAGCTGCAGGTGCTGGCTCAGGTACTCGGCCATGAAGCCCATGAAGTCGCTGGCCGGGCTGTGGGGCAGGCAGCGGCTGGGAGCAGCGGTGCCCGGAGTTCGGGGCAGTGCCATCCCCGGGCACCTCGCTCAGCTTTTACGAAATTCCTACTTTTTTGGGAACCATCACCACCCCCTGCTCCTCTCCCCGTGCCCCGTGCCCACCCCTCGGGAGGGAAGGGTGCGGATTTTACCTGCTGTGCACCTGCTCCTGCAGCCTCAGCTGCAGCTGCTGCGAGATGTGGGGCCGGGCATGGGGAGCGCCGAGCCCCGTGCTCCCCCCGTGCCCCCCGGCGGGGACCGCGCTGCCCGCAGGGTTCCCTCTGCCGTCCTCCCCATCTGCGGGCACAGCACCCCCGGCTCAGCACGGGCACCCCCGGCAGCCCCCAGCCCCAATCCCGCAGCCCCCAGCCCCGCTGACCCGAGTCCTCATCGGCTGCGTCCCGGTGCCGGTGCACGGGGTAGAGCAGGGGGGTCACCAGCCCGTTGTTGGGCTGCTGGTAGGCGCCGATCAGGTCGGGGAGCGTGCGGAAACACTTGGCCTGGATGCCCTGGATGGTCTGGGGGAGGCAGAGGGGATGCTGGCATGGGATGTGCCCCCCATCCATGGGATCTGAGGGATGGGGGCACCCCCAGGGAGGTTGCTGTGCTGGCTGGGGTCTGTCCCCCAAAATGTGCCCGTGCCGAGCAGTGGGTGCCAGCTGGATGCCAACCTTGCAGGGCAGCAGGACAAGGAAGGGGAGGAGATGAGGATATCCCCTTGGGAAGCAGAGCGGGGCTTTTTTAGGGCCACAGGAAGGGTGGTGGCAAAGTCGGGAACCAGGAGAAACCACGCGGGGACACCAAGAGGGAACAACGGGGCCAGGCCAGCAGCGAGCGGGGCTGCAGGGCTGCTGTGACCGGCACGGTGACAGCAACAGGAAAGGGGAAAATATTTTGCAAAGCTGCCCCAGGTGCAGCAGCAGCAGCAGGCTGCGAGGCTGCGAGGCTGCCGGGGCAGCACCGTTCCCAGCCGGGCTGCAGAAGGGCTCGGTGCAGAGCTCGCACATCCTGTGCTGCCGCTGCAGCCAGCTCGTGCAAAGAGCAAACCGCACCGCTCGCCGGGCGCCCTGCAGAAGCAGCTGGAGGTGGCAGCAAAATTTCCCCCCCCCCCCCAAAAGCCTTCCACACCCTCCCCACCTGCTTCCTGAGGGTGCCCGGCGAGCCCCTGCCACCCACCTGGACCGAGAGCAGCCCCTCGTCGTCGGGGAGGATGCGATAGGTGTGGACGTGCCGCTGGAACCTGGGGGAGAGCCCAGCGTCTGCACCGTGCCCCCTCGGCAGGATTTGGAGCTGAGCTCCTGGTTCTGGCCATAAAATCATCGCCCTGCCCGCCACCCCAACCCCCCCGGCGTGCCCTGCACCCCCGCATCCATCCCCAGCACCATGTGGTTGCAATTTGGACCTCGCGCCCGGCCAGGAAAAGCCACGGGGAGCTGGGGGGCAGCCGTCCAAACCCACAGAGGCACCGCCCCGTGCCACAGCAGCCCAGATCTCCTGGCCCCACCGACGCATCCCCGGGCTGCAGGAGGGTCCTGGAGGACCAGCAGCGGTGTTTTGGGGCTCGGCGTGCCGAAATCCTGGCATGGGAGAAGTTAAGAGCAGGGGCTGGACTGGAGAGGGGATGTCTGTGTGCGCCCAGGGAGGGCACCCGAAGGTGGGCAGCCCCAAAGGGCTTGGGGTGCTGCCCCCCATCCCCTTGGGGGGGCTGGGTTTGGGCTGGGAGCTCCTGGTGTGGGTTTCTGCCAGGATTTTCCCTTGATCCAAGCTGGGCATCACCCCGATATCCCGGTGTCAGAGAGCTGAGCGAAGCAGAACCAGCACCCGCACCCGCGCACATCCCTCCGGCTGTGGGATAATTCCCACCCCCACCCCAAAACCCTGCCCTGAGGGCCCCACAGCACCCGCAGCCCCACCGAACCCCATCGGGGACGGGGCCGGCTCCTTCCCCAACGAGCCCCCAGAAGGATGCGGAGAGCAGAGCACAGGGGGGGCACTCACAGGAGGCAAAGGGCGTACGCCCCCTGCCACGGACTCGCTGTCCCGCACCAGGAAGCAGCCGTCCCTGCCCGCCTTGGCCAGCAGGTCCTCGGCCACCACCCGGCTGATGTCCCGGTGGTACCAGCTGGCCGCTGCCATCCCCCGGGGCGCCAGGAGGCTGCCGCTGCTCCCCGGTGGTCCCAGCCCCACATCAGCCCCGCAGCCGGGCGGTGTGGGGGCAGCAGGAGCAGGGAGGCTGCGGGGGGATGCTGGGGGTCCGGGGGGTCCTCATGCCGGGGGCTCCAGCCTGCAGGGCGCAGCGGGGCAGAGAGGCGAGCGTCAGGGACCCCCGGCAGGGTCACCCCGTGCCGCTACCCCAACCCCGGGGCCACCACCCCGTAGGCCGTGCGGGCGCCCCGAACATCACCGGCGGCACTCACCCCTCCCTCGCGGCTCCTGCGGCTCCCGGAGGGCTGCTGGGGGCAGCGAGCGGAGTTTTTTGGGGTGCAGCCCCGAGCCCCCTCCCGCTGTGCCCGCCGTGCTCCTGCCCCACGGGGCAGCGGCAGGGCGCAGGGCACGCAGCACCCTCTCCCCGGTGGCCCCGGTGCCCCCGCTCAGCACCACGGCGCCCGCCCGCGCTCTTCCTCCTTCTCTGCGCTCTGCTCTCCCCGCCGGCCTCCTCGCTCCTCCTCCCTCTCCAGCCCCGCTGCCAAGGGGAAGCCGGCGGCCATGCGGGGCCCAGCGCCCCGAGCACTGGCAGGGAGAGGCTGGGGGGGCTCCACCGCCTGCCCCGCTCCCCATTTTCTCCGAGCTCCCTTCTCTCGGCTGTGCGCCAGGAGAGGGGCTCAGGGGGTGCCCCCCAAAATGTAGGGGCGCTGCAGCCCCATGTGGGGCTGGCTCCAGACACTTTGGGTACCCGAGGGAGCCTGGGCATCCCTAAATGGGGTCAGGGGGATTGGAAACGGGGATGTGGGGGCTCGGGGAGGGCTCGGGGGCTGCTGGGGCTCACGGAGAGGCTTTGCTCCTGCCACAGACACTGAGTGGGTCCGGCACGTGCTGGGCAGCTCTGCCCTGGGCTGCGCTGGTGATTAGCACTGCAGTGTTAATTACAGACGAGCTGCAGCCACCATCTGCCACCGGGACCCACCTACATTTCTCCCCATTTTTTCTCTTTGCACATCTCAGGGCGGTTTGCAAGGTCCCCCTGCAGCAAGGAGCCCCCGGCACGGGGCCGCTCCACCACCACCGTGCGCCCAAACCTCTCCGAGGCTTCCCCTTGTGCCGGCATCCCCCGGGCTCACGGAGGAACCTGTGGCCAGCGCCACCGAGAAGTTGTGCAGCCCGGTTAATTCTGGGCTGGCGGCTGTGGGCTGCTGGTGCCTGCATCCCTCGCCACGTCCTGAGCAGGGCAGGGTGGTGGCAGAGCCCCCGTCCCCCCGCTGCCCCTGGCTGTTACTTAACAGCACGGCAATAATTCCCCGCCTGGCTTTGGGGGCAGGTGGGATTAGCGCCGTCCACAGGCCCCTAATCCAGATCAGGGGAGGAAGACCCGGAGCTCTCAGGGGCTTTCAGGAATCGGCGCCGCCGCAGCGTGGCACGGGGCCCTGGAGGGCAGGCTGGGACAAGGCATGGAACCTTTTTGTGATCAGGGAACGGGAGAAAGGCATCACCGGGGTCAGGCAGAGGGCTGGCTCCCCTCCTCGTGGTGCCCCGGCCAGCGGGGTGAGCGCGGGGATGGACGTGGCCAGTCGGGACCCCGAGCACCGTGCTGGAGGAGGGTGCCCAGGACCTTTGCCACCGGGAAGGTCACAGTTCACGTGTCCCCTGCCCTTGGCAGAAATAGTTCCTGCTAATCTGCAAGCTAAGCAGCTCTCCTGCGTGCAATTAACAGGGATCACCAGTCCCAGCCCCGCTCAGCACGTGCCGGCACCTAAAGCCGGGCTGGGTGCGGGAGCGTGGCATCTCCTAAACCAGCTGGTCTCACCCACCGGCATTTTTTGGGGTCCCCCCAGCAGGGTTTAGGAGTTAGGGAGCCCCCAGAGCCGGAGGTGCCATCCCCGTGGGCACGTTGGCCATGGGGTGAATCGACCAGGCAGCCCCTTCCCTCCCCTCCGCCACCGAACCCGGGGCTGTCCCGGCTCCACGTGGGCTGGGAGCGGTGCTGGGGTGATGCCGGGGGGAGCGGGCACCCCTGCCCTCCCCCTGCCCTCCCCCTGCCCGCCTCAATCAGCATCACCCTGCCCCTAAGCCCCGCCAAGCCCCGTAAGCTGCTTTCTCGGGGCTCCAGCCACAGCCGTATTGATGGCCCCACTCTTACTCGCGGAGCGTCTCCCCGGTTAATCAATTAATAGGATTCCAGCCCCAAAATACCTGTCCCCCCCACACACACGACTCATCTCCAGCCAGGCAGGAGCCGGGGGAGGGCTGGGGCAGGTATAAGAGGCTGCAGGACAGGGAGCAGCCGGGGAGAAGGAGGAGAGGAGGAGAGCAGCACCCAGCCCAGGTGAGTGCTGCCTGCACGGCCCCGGCTGCTTTGTGGGGTGCTGTGGGGTGCTGTGGGGCAGGGACATCGGTGACGGACTCGGGGCTGGAAGGAGAGAGGCTCGGGGCTGGAAGGAGGGAGGCTCGGGGCCGAAAAATCTGCCCAGATGGCTTTCAGCATGGACAGAGGCATCCGTAGCGGTGCAGGAGAGCTGAGCCAAGCCAGGAGGAGCCCCAATCCCCCCTCCGTGAGGCTCGGCGCACACAGAGGAGGCTCCGGCTCCCCTCTCCCCTGCCTTTCAGCCCCCTTTCCCCAAATCCTGGGCGCCACAGCACCGCTCTGCTCCCAGGCCCTTCACACCTCCTCGTGCTGCTGCCCCAGGGACCCCGCAGAGCTTCACAACCCCACAGCCCCCGAGGGATCACAGCCCCTGTATTTGGGATTAATCCCTTGTTTCCCCATGGGGACAGGGATCAGCATCTCCCCCGCTCCCTCCCCACGGGTTCCTTTTTCTCTCTCCAGCTTACGTAAAGGAGCGCCTCTGCCCACACGGCCCCGGGGGCGTCAAATCCTTAAGCCCCGCTAATGTCCGAGCAGCCTAAAGTTTAAGAAGCTGAGCTCATCCCTTCTAATCTCCCCGCAAATCAGCGAGATATTTGCCGTTTAATTCTGGACGCTGGGGCTTGAGCAAGCAAAGGGCAGGCAGCCCCGGGCTGGCTGGGAGCAGGGCGATGGATGCGCCGGGCTCGGGGCTCGTGGGGCAGCCGAAGGGCTCTCACCTGCGGCTTCCTCGCCCTCCTGCGAGCAACGGGACCAACTGAGCACTTTCCTCTTGTTAAGTCGTGGCAGCGAATTTCCTGGCCCCGTTGCTCCCCCTCCTCACCTCCTCCACTTTCCCCCTTTTTCTCCCCGCAGGTCCGAGCCGCGCGGCACCCGACTTAAAATGGCAGATGGAGCAAAGTGAGTGTCTGTAGGGGCTGTGATGTCCCCGCTGCGGCTCCTGGGGACGCTCCTCTCGCCCCAGGGTGGGTGTGGAGATGCCCCCAGGCTTGCCGTGGCCGTCCCAACCTCTCCGTGGCCATCCCAACCTCTCCGTGTGTGTGTTTTCCCCGCAGGGTGTTCAAGAAGACGAGCCCCAACGGGAAGGTGAGGCCCTACAGGACCTACAGGGCCGCCCCCGGTGTGGGTGGGGGGACACAATCTGGGTTTTCCTTCCCTTGGAAACCTCCCGATTTCTCTCTACCTGTTCTGGTGCCACCCCACTGGGCTCACTTTGGGGGCTTGGCAATTCGGGGCAGTTGGATGGCAGTCACTAACCCGTTCCCTCTCGCCACACGCTCCCCTAGCTCTCCATCTACCTGGGGAAGAGGGACTTCGTGGACCACGTGGAGTCCGTGGACTCTGTGGGTGAGTGGGGTCCCCGCATGCTCAAAATCCCGACATTTTCCTACAAATATCTGAAAATAAATACCTTTAAAGATAAAAGCCCTTTGCAAACAAGCCCTGCTGGGGGGGATGCTCAAGGGAGTGCCACCGTCCCCACGACAGGCAGCTCCCTCCCAGCTGATGAGCAGACAATTTTGCCCTGAAAAAGCACAATATTATGACAAGGATCTTCTCTCCCGCTGCCGTGCTGAGCTCTCTGCCCCTTCCTTTTTGCTTATTTGCAGATGGCGTCTGCCTGATCGACCCGGAGTACCTGAAGGACAGAAAAGGTACTAAGGGGCAGGGACAAAAGCTCTGAAGTTGCCCGTGCCTTGAAGAAAGATGCGATGGATCTCGTTAGCTCTGTGCTTGGGGCCAGATCTTTAACACGGTCACATTGCTGTAGATAACAGGCTTTTAATGCCAATGAGATATAAACACAGCTCCTTTATCTTCCCTCCTTTCCCAACCCTTGCCTTCCTGGCACCCCCGCGGCGGCCCCAGTTTATGTGACGCTGACTTGCGCCTTCCGCTACGGCCGGGACGACCTCGATGTTATCGGGCTGACCTTCAGGAAGGACCTCTACGTCCTGACCACGCAGATCTTCCCGCCGGTGCCCGACCAGGTGCCCAAAACCCTCACCCCTCTGCAGGAGAAGCTGATGAAGAAGCTCGGCGAGAACGCGTACCCCTTCACCTTCGAGGTAGGGGCTGCTCCTCCCCATCGCCACGGCTCCAGGGCTCACCTTGGGGCACGTCCTTTATCTGCTCCTTCCCTCTCCTGCCCAGGTTGCCACCAACTTGCCCTGCTCGGTCACCCTCCAGCCGGGACCAGACGATGTGGGGAAGGTCAGATGTTGTCCCCAACCCGTGTCCCCAAGTCGTGGGGAGGTGGCCGTGAGGTGGGGTGAGGGTTGGAGGGAAGGGGCAGGGGGATTTGGGGCTGGGATCTCCCGGGATGCGATGGAGGAAGGAAGGGAACAAGCCCAAACCTCGGGCAGCTCGGAGCCCCCCCTGCTTTGTAACCTAATGTGTGCCCCCAGGCCTGCGGCGTGGACTTCGAGGTGAAAGGGTTTTGTGCTGAAAACCTGGAGGAGAAGATCCACAAGAGGTATTTGCGGGGGAACCCTTTACTTCCCCGTGGCCTAAAATTGAACAACCAGACCGTTTTGGGGTGGCCAGCTCAGGGCCGGGCCAAGGCTGTGCCGTGGCACACTTGCACTGGGCACTTTGCCCGTAGGACGGGTGCTGGTCCCATGCCTGCGCCCTCCCCACCCTAAAAGCAGGCTGTAGGTTGCATGGTGTGACTAGAGGAACTGGGATGCCCCCAAAGACAAGCCCCGTGTCTGTCCCCCTGTGCGTGGGGGTGCCCAGCAGCGATGGTTTCTCGCCCCGCAGGAACTCGGTGCGCCTGATCATCCGCAAGATCCAGTTTGCACCCATGAAAACGGGCCCCGCGCCCAAAGCGGAGACCACCCGGCAGTTCATGATGTCTGACAAACCCCTGCACCTCGAGGCCTCCCTGGACAGGGAGGTCAGCACAGGGGCCGTCCCCTGCCCCGTGCCACCACGAGCACCCCCAGAAATGGGGACCGGGATGTCTCTGTCCCCATTCCTGCTGGCTGGCCGTGTCACCGGGTCTCTTCTGACTGCAGATCTACTACCACGGAGACCCCATCAACGTGACTGTCAACATCAACAACACCACCAACAAGATTGTGAAGAAAATTAAGATCTCAGGTGAGAGCGAGTGCGAGGGGCACGTCCTGGTGCCCGCTGTGCTGGTGTCGGGGATGGGGAACACGCGCCCGGTCCCTGCCGCCGCCCCAACGCTGCTCCCTCTCGTCTGCCTCAGTGGATCAGATCACGGACGTGGTTCTCTACTCGCTGGATAAATACACGAAGACCGTCTGCATGGAGGAGATCAAGTGAGCAAAAAGGATCCGGCACACAGCGTGGCACCGGGGAGAAGAGGGAGGAAGCGGACGAGGAGTGGGTGGTGACGACGGTGTTAAAGCGGGCAGCAAAAAAAATAAATCAGTGTTAGAAGAGCAGATGCTGAGGAAGCAGAGGAGAGGGAAGGCTGTGGACGTCGAGCCCCCCAGCACAAGCTTGGGGATGTCCCCGGGGGAAGGTGCACAGCTGTCCCCAGGCTGCTTCCTCTCCCCATTTTGCATCTTGAGGCCAGCTGCAGTCAGGCAAGGCCCCTGGGCCCCTGAAAAAGAGGAGGGACAGAGCAAAGATGGAGGGGTAAAAAAAAAAAGAAGTGGTTGTAGAAAGGAACAAAAGGAGGAAATGAGCCCAGACAGCTGCGGCGGGGAGGATGGGGCAGGAAGGGGGCCCTGCCCTGCCCCGGCGTGGCGCTGAGCACCCAGCAGGGTGCTGCTGGCCCTGAGCTCTCCTCTCCTGCCCCTTCCAGCGAGAACGTGGCGGCCAACTCCACCTTCTCCAAAACCTACTCCGTCACCCCCACGCTCTCGGCTAACCGCGAGAAGCGAGGCCTGGCTCTGGATGGCAAGCTCAAGCATGAGGACACCAACCTGGCCTCCACCACCATGTAAGAGCCGGGCTTGTGCCGGGAGAAATCCCCGCTCAGGGAGCTGAAGTGGCCTCCAGAAGTTTTGTTTTCGGCCGTCCCTCCCCTCTCTTTGGCTGCCACGTTGTGCTGTCCCTCCCCACTAACCCCAGCGCACCCCACACCAGTTGGGGCATGGAGGCAGCCCCGGGAGCTGTCACAGGGCTGGAAGGGATGGTGGCATCTTCCTGCTCTCTCTCCTAGCCTGAGGCCCGGCATGGACAAGGAGGTGCTGGGGATCCTGGTGTCCTACAAAGTGAAGGTCAACCTGGTGGTGTCCCGAGGAGGGTGAGGCTCAGGGACATCCCCTGCTCCCCATGGCTGTGGGGGCAGCTGAGTCCCCTTGGTCCCCTCCAGCCCCATTACCACTGCCCTTCATCCATGCTAAAGCATCTTTTAGCTGATCTCAAAGCAAACCCTAACATCTCCCCTCCTTTCCTTGGCTGCTTTCCATCCCTTCTCTCTGTGGCGCAGCATCCTGGGGGATCTCACTTCCAGGTAAGCAGGGAGGTGCTTGTGGGGCCAAGCACCAGCACGGTGTGGTGCTCAGGGCTCGTGCTGAGTGTGGTGCTGGGGGCACTGACTGAAAAAAGTCAATTTCCAGCGACGTTGGCGTTGAGCTGCCCGTCATCCTGATGCACCCGAAGCCTGCGGATGGTAAGTGGCACCTGGGATGCAGCGAGAGCACCCGGGAGGAAAAGGCAGATCCCGTTCAGATGGGAGCTGGTAGCAGCGATGGCATGGGGCAGCCCCAAAGGTTAGGCGAGGTGCTCCACAGAATGAGCCCCCCGTCCGAGTGTCTGTCTAGAAAAGCACCCGAGCATTAAGGGATGTCTCCTGAGGGCCGCTGCTGCGTGAACCTGCATGTTTTTGTCTCTTTCCACCCCTGCCTCGCCGTGCTGTGCGCTCACACGGACTGCAGACAAGCCAAGGTAAGGGGGGGGACATGAACCTTGTGCAGCCACCACTGAGCAGTGTGGGACTGCGGAGGTGTGCTGGGACAAAACACCCAAATTTGTGCCCTTGTCACCGTGTGCTTGGATAAAACACCCAAATTTGTGGCCTTGTCACAGTGTGCTTGGACAAAACACCCAAATTTGTGGCTGTGTCACAGTGTGCTTGGATAAAACACCCAAATTTGTGCCCTTGTCACAGTGTGCTTGGATAAAACACCCAAATTTGTGGCTGTGTCACAGTGTGCTTGGATAAAACACCCAAATTTGTGGCTGTGTCACAGTGTGCTTGGACAAAACACCCAAATCTGCGCCGGTGTCACAGCGGGGTGACACCCAGCAGTGTGACCCCCGCTGTGGCAGCATGGGCGTGAGGAGTGGGGTCACGAACCCGTTCTTCCAGCCCCATGCCCAGCGTTGCCTCCCAAATTTGTGGGGTGTGGTTTTGTGCGTGTGTTTAACACTGTGACGGGATCTGGGAGCCAGGATTTGGGGTCTGGCACCTGGGGCAGCTTTCTGGGGGGCACCCCCTGGCATCGCCTTCCCCGTGGAGCCGCCCCGTTGCCCCAGCCCCATTTTTGACTCTTTTCGCTCTTTCTTCCTTCGCTTCTTTCTTTTCCCCGTCGCCGCCCGGCCCCGCTGCGCGCTGACAGGAGGTAACGGAGCCCCGCTGCCCTTTCCCCTTAACCCCCATCCCCGGGGGACCGGGCATGGCGGGGCTAAGCGTTGCCGTGCCTTGCAGCGAGGAGGACATCGTCATCGAGGAGTTCGCCCGGCAGCGCCTCAAGGGCGAGCGGGACGACGACGAGGACAAGGAGGAGGCGGACAAGGAGGAGAGCTGAACGCCCGCCGCCATCTTGGGACCCCCCCCCAGCCGCCATCTTGGGACCCCCCCCGCCATGGCGGCCCCCTCCCCGCTGTGGCCACGCCCCCGCCGCCATCTTGGCCCCTCCCGCCCCCACATGTGGCCACGCCCCCTCCCGCTCTGACCACGCCCCCTCCCCGCCGTGCCCGCGCCCCCCTCCTCGCCCGGCGTCGTGACGTCAGCGCGTCGGCGGCGGAAGTGACGCGGGCGGGGCGGCGGTGGCGGCGAGCGCTCGGCGGCGGCTGCGGCTCCGGCTCCTCCTCGCTCCCGGCCCAGGCCCAGGCCCAGCCCCAGCCCCAGCCCCAGCCCCGCCGCCATGTCCGGCCCCGGCAGCGGCGGCGACTTCGGGAACCCGCTGCGGAAATTCAAGCTCGTCTTCCTGGGCGAGCAGAGCGGTGAGCGAGGCGGCGGGAGGGGCAAGGCCTCGGGGGGCCGTTACCGGGCGGGGAGGCCCCGTCGTGCATCCCCCTCGCCCCCCCCCCCCCGCCGCCTGTCTCGGCCCACGGGCGGGCCGCGGCTCCGGGTGGCCTCGTTCCGATCCCGCCCCGCTGCCGTCGCCCCCCGGTTCCCGGCCGGCTGCAGGTCCCCGGGGGGTTTCCAGGAGCTGTCCGGGCCCTGGCAGCCGTAGCGAGGCGCGAGCGTGACAGCCTCCCGTCAACCGGCGATTTATTCCCTTTCCCTTTTTCTCCTCTCCCCGCGCCCTTTGTATTTCCCGTGGCCTCCTCCCCCCTCCCTGGGAGAGAACCCGAGATCTGATCTTTGGTTCCCGCTCCTCTCCCTTCTGCCCCTTGCCTCTAGGCGGTATTTGAATACGTAAATTTAAACTTTTTAAGCGAGCTGTCAAAGTTGACTGTGTATCAAAAACCTCGTTCCAAATAAAGTTTGTAACGTCTGAAATCCAAGTCGTAAACGTTGCCCTTCTGTGGAGCCAGAGGCAGCTGGAGAGCGCCCACGTTGCATCCCCTGTGCTGGGTTCTGCTGTTTTCCTCCAGAACCCCTGGGCTTGCTGATTACATAAGTGGGAAAATGTGAATAACAAAGCAGGTTTGCTGCTGGCTCAGAGCAAGCAGAGAACTGTCACATGCATCGCAGAGCACCTCAGCTGAGCACTGAGTTTTCATCATCATTCATTTTTCACTTTCATGGATTCCTTTGGCCTAGTGCTCTTTTGCAAAATCACCGGCTGGGAAATTATTCACAAAATGCCAGGAGCCAGTGCCTGGGGAACGGCATTCCTCCGGCAGCGTGGTTCTGGTGACCGGTGCTCCCGGCACGTCACCTGCCCCAGCAGCAGTTATTTTTCCCTCTGCTGCTTGGAAGTAATTTTTCCCTCTTCTTTTGTAGTGGGGAAGACCTCTCTGATCACCAGGTTTATGTATGACAGTTTCGACAATACTTACCAGGTACGTGGTGCAGCCACTTCTGCATGAGTGCCTCTCCTCTCTGCTCCTCGGCGAGCTCCTGGGAGAGCCGTTAGGGCAAACGCAGCTCTGCAGGAGATGTCAGCTCGGTGTCGTTTCTGAGGTGGTAATGTGCCTTGAAATGTAGATGAGACCTCGTGGTTCAGCCCAAGGATCTTGTATATTACCAGGGAGTGTGGTGTACAAAAGAGCAGCAAGGTTTAAATCCTGCCTGGCTGTTTGAGAAACTTGAGGAAAACGGGGAGAAACGGTGATTTGTGGGGTCAGTGAACAGAGAAGACAATGGGGAGGATGATTGAAGATGGACATGAAGCATCAGGAAATGGAGATAGACAATAAGAGAAAAATGTGCTTACGGTGGTTTTTGGTCTCTTTCATCATTATAGACTTTTCCATTTCAACAGGAATAGTTGAGTCCAGAGCACTGAGCTGATCCACAAGATGTCAGCACGGTGTATTCTCTCTCTCTCTCTTTTTTTTTTTTTTTTTTTTTTTTTTTCTCTCAACTAAAAGGCTATAGATAGAAAAAGCCAGGGGAATTTTGGCAGGGAGAGAGTAGGGTAGGGATGGAGAGGCTTCAGGCTGAAAAGCTGAGGATGTGTAGGAGGCCTGAAGATTTGGGGAAGAGCGAGTTGCATCAAAAGCACTTAGTGGTATTTAAGGGAGTAGCAAATACCTTTAAGGAAGACGAGACCGGTGTTTTCTTTTAGTGCAGGCCAGGAGGAGTCGCTGGCTCAGATTGGAGTAATTTTAAGCTGGCTGTGAAAAGAGAAGGTGGTTTTCTGGAGGACAAGGACTTACTGAAGGCTGGATCTTGTGCTTCCTGCGTGGTTCTTCTATTCCTGACTCTTGTAGGGCGCTGCAGTGGGTTTATCTCGTCACCATAGCTGTTGTAAACTGTGTCTGGGCTGCAGAGAATAGGGCACCTAGAAATGGGTGCTAAGGACAGAAATTGGTGGTTGAGGTCTGTTGTGCTGTCAGGTGGTTCGTGTTCTCGTGGAGTCCTTCCAGGACACATCAGGGCAGTGTTTGAGTCTGGGGATGGCCTAAAATACTGAAATCCATCACCTCAGTAAGCCTTTTCCTGGGGTGGGGGTGGGCTGGGACGCCTGCTTGGTTTAAATGCCTGGGAATGTTCAATTCTCAGTAAGTTTCTGTAAATGTTTCTGCACGGGAATTGCTGTGCAGCGATGGAAACATGAATGGAAGGAGGCTGGCAGGAAGAACTGCCTGGGAAACGAAGCTTCTGATTGTCGCTGCGAAGGAGGCGTGCTCTCCATCGGAAAGCCCTGAATCACTGTTACTTTTTAGGTCTCAGCACATTGCTCACAATTTATGTAACTTGTTCCAGCTTCTGGGTATTTCTAATCAGAGAAGTCTTAGCAGGCTGGGTTGCTGTGAGCCAGAGGGAGATGACGGGAGAGATAGGATCTGAGTTAAGATGCCTGAGTGTCTGAGAGGCAAAATTAGGCTCTGGTGTGGTTCGGAGGTGTTGGGAGGATGACGGGAGATGAGGATGGTGGAGATGCCTCGGTGGCTTTGTTTGTATCACCTCTATTGAACGCAAACGACTTCAACAGCTTAATTACAAGCTGGGGAGCGTTTTTTAGAGATCGTATGGAAAGATCTGATGTGCAGATGCTGGGAGGCGAGTTGCAGCTGCTGATGCTTTTCTTCTTTTCAGGCAACCATCGGGATTGATTTCCTGTCCAAAACGATGTATCTCGAGGATCGCACGGTGAGTGAGGCGGCCGGGTGATAGCACGGCAACTGCAGCCAGGGGAGCAGCAGCTGCTGGGTGTGCGGCTCTGCCTGCCCGCTCCTGCAGCGCTGCTGAAATCCCCCGGCAGCCTTGGCTGAGACTGACCCAGTCTCCCATTTCTGGTACTTACTAAGAGGTAAAACCTCCAGAATGAAGTCAAATTCCTTCATGCAAAACGGGGGCGAGCTCCTGTCCCTCTCCCCGGGGATCCAGCTGTCTGCTGCACGTGCCTGCCCGAGGCGTGGTTTGCTCCCAGAATTTGCAGCTCTGCCTCTGGGGTTGGCAGTGGAAATGGGCATGGGCACGCCCCAGGTGGCTCCGAGTCCTGAAGTCGCTCAGGATAAGCAGCGGTGGCACAGTTCCCCCTGGTAGAAAGGCTCCATTTGTAACGCAGTTTTGCCTTCCTGTTAATAAAGCAATTCTGCATTTAGCTTGCATAAAGAGACCCCTCACATCCCTCTCCTGTCCTGCAGTATTTGTCTTTTTGCTAGCTCAAGTTTTGCTGGATCTTTTCCTTTTGCTAATTTTATATCTGGCTGAGAAGAAGGAAGCTGCTGGGAGGAGGGAAGGGCGGGTGGTGCGGTGGAGGTCCTCCATTGCTTGGGGTCTGTTGCTTCTGAAGAGGTCTCATCCCATTGTGTAGTGAGATTCGAGAGTGCTTCTGCCCCACCTTACCAGTGATCTGCTGCTAGAAGAGACTTTGTTTAGCCGTTGTTTGAGAGAAACTACTTGGACAGCGTTCTTCAGCGTTGTTAGCTGGGGGAGAAGATGTTGGGAGTGCAGGTACAGGGGGCCTGCAGAGCCTGCAAAGCCCAACAGAGTAACAGAGCTGCTGAACGGGGGTAAGGGGAGGGAGGAAAACCAGCACACCGAGCCAGGAAAATTCAGGATTTGAAAGAGTTTCTTGGCTGGGGCTTGTGTTGGATTTTGCAGTAGTGCAAATGAGATGAAGAAGGCGAAGCCTCTAACTGCAGCAGATGCTTCGACATACTTGATAAGCCTTTACACTCCATGCTAGATCCCAAAATTCCACCTGTGCTGATCCCCCAGCTCTCAGGATGGCCTGGGCAGCGTGCACTGGCCAGCAGAAGGAACAAAGAGATGTGAGCCGGGTTCTGTGCGTCTTTAACACCCAGAACTCTCTCTGAGTAGCTTTCCCCAGAGCGTGACCATGGTGTGGCGTTTCTGGCATTGTAATTAGTGCCCAGGGAGCTGTGGTGCTGAGCGAACCGGGGCCGTGAGGAGCCCCATCCCTGCTCCTGACTGTCAGGCTGGCGGCTCCACGTTACAGCTACATCATGCTTGGAAGCAGAGCGCTTCTCCCTCCCAGTTTATTCCCAGGTGGGTGGGTTTCAGCAGGAGATGAGCCAGTCCAGAGGGTGGTTGCTGTCCTGGCTCGTACCCGCTGCCATGTTTGAGCACTTCACATCGAGCTTTCCAGCAGAGTAATCAAATTGGCGGCTGGGTGATGCGCTCCTGACAACTAGGAGTGCCCACACCTCTGGGAGGTGTTTTCAGGATATCTTGGGTTTCTGATGAAGTGGAAGAATGTGTTCATGCCTGCGAGTTATTACCGGGCTCGTGGAGGGGGGAGGTTCTCTGAGGTGTTAGGCTGAGCTGACCGCGAGAGCGCAGGTGGAGGTTTCGGTGGCTCTCTTCACGCTTCTGTTCCGTTTTAACTTTCCTTTTGTTGCGTTGTTTTTGCCTTGCAGTTTTTTTTTTCTTTTTCTTTTCATTTCACTTGAGTTTCGGTTTTGTTTTCCATTTTCCTGCTCCTTCCTTTCCCTCTTCCCCTGCACTTTTCCATTTCCCAGATCAGGCTGCAGCTGTGGGACACAGCCGGCCAGGAGAGGTTCCGCAGCCTCATTCCCAGCTACATCCGTGACTCTGCTGTGGCTGTCATTGTCTTTGACGTTACAAGTAGGTATTGAGCCCGAGTGGCTGCAGGGGCCTTGCTTTTCACGGGTGCCTTGTATGCGTTGGAAGTGCTGATGGTGTGTGAAGGGAGTTAAGGCAGGCCCCAGCACTGTAGGTACGTGAGCATCCTCCCCCACGAGCACTGCTAACTGCATCTCAACCCCAACCTAGGGAATCGTTTAACTCTGCTGTGGTCAAAGCTCAGGCTGTGGGAGGCAGAGGAGCAGGAGGTGGGTGAGCAGGGGTTATGACTGCGTGTCTTTAACAATCAGATTAGTAGAATTTGGAAAGCTTTTTACTTTTTCTGTTCAGTTTTAAACCCCCCAAGTCCTCTCCGCTCTGGGTAACCAGAGAGGTAGTACGAGGAACCTCAGATGGCAAACAAATGAAATCCTGTCAGATTGGGCAAAACAGCAAATTGCAACATCCATTGAAATGGAAGCTGTGCTGTGCCTTGTGAGGGTTCCAGGCTCCCATTTCATTGAAGAATAGAGCTGGCAGTTCATCCGAGTCACCAGAGGGCTTTTGAGAGAGACACAGCCACCATCATTTCTAAAGAATAAACAACCTTAAAGGGGAATTGTCTGTAACTCTTGGCAGCAGTATTTAAGTAGTAGATATGAATATAATTATTTCGTTATAACTTGGTTTTGGACTCCACTTGATCTGTCTTTTTCAATTAAGCTCCAGTATCAGCATACATAGCTAGACTGGATTCATACCAGTGAACAAAGTAAAGAAAAAAATGAAGACTTAAAAAAATAAAAACCCCACAAACCTCTGGCCCATCTCCATTCTGCCCCGAATCGAGGTTATAGCAAGTCCTTATGATCAGAGGGGTTGTTTCACTTCGGTCAACAGAACTGCTTAACATAATAACAAGCTGTGTGAGATTAATCATTGCACGAAATAATGACATGGTTGCTGCTCCAGTCCTAGAGCTTAAGTGCCTGACTCAAGGAGGATTTGTGGCATGGTGCAAAATAACGTAAAACTCATCTTTTGGATGTGCACGGGATGATTTATATGCTGGGAAGGGATCTGGGTAAGACAGAGCAGCAGACTGCCGAGGTCGGCAGCTTTTCCTCCCCACTGTGGTGGCAGCTATAGGATGCTACTTATCCAGGCAGGTGGGAAAATTTTGCCACAGTCTAGGCTGTTCTTAATGGCTTCCAGACATGTCAAAAATAATGAAGTGATAGCTGATCTCATTGTGCCTCAGTAATGGTCTGATCTTTTCAGATAATTTCATTTTTTCTTGTTACTGCTTTTTGTTCCGATCTCAGCGACTAAGAGGCTTTTAGTTTGCTTGTGTCAGCGAGGGACCAGGCTCGTGCTTCGAGGGCATGATAATGGTGGCCGGCAGGATTAGGAGAACAGTTTCCTTCCGCTCTGAAGAGCTGTGCATGTGCATTTTGTTTAACGTAACTGTATTTTGGAACCTCAAATAGTCCCTCTAACTCAGCACTGGTCATGGTAGGGCACAACAGGGACAGTCCTACGTGGCATACTCAGATACCTGCCAAAATGCTCTAACTAGAGAGGAACTGCTGGTTAGCGTCTGGTGGGCTGGGAAAAAAAATAAAAAAGAGAAATTGTTTAGTTGTTGTTAATCTCTGGGCATCCCGAAGTGCGAGTGGCCTGTGGGATGATCAGTGGTGGAAACCCCACGCTGCAGCTTGGGCAGGTCAGCCAAGCAGTGACCTCGTTCCTTAGGGAAACTCCGTTAATGCTTGGCTGGGGCCTCTCCTCCTTCCAGACCAGCAGTGTGTTCGTGCACACTGTCATGTGTGAGAGGGTTATTTATGGTTTTTCCTCCAAAATGGGCACATGTGAACTTCTAGAAATGACAGACCCCAGGAATATTGCAGGTAATTCCTTGGTTCCCTTCAGGGGAGCCCGCGTGGTACCTGCACGCTGGCTGGAGAACTTCCCTCACATAATTTTTCCTTCACCACAAGAGGATTGCCAGGGCCAGTTCCTCACCAGTACTTCCTCTAGCTGCCTTCTTGATTGTGAGACTGAGGGTTGGAGCATTTAAATCACCACCAGGGTAAACTTTCTGGTGCAGCAGTGATGTCCTGGGGTCTCCACAGGGATCCTCATCGCGGAATCTGAAGGCAAGAGCCTGAAGCAGGCATTAGCATCAATCCGTTCTGCCAGCACTGCTCTAAAACTGTCGCAGTGCTTGCAGGTCAGCACCCTGAGTTTCCAGGGGTAGGGAAGAGCCCTGACTTTGCTCCTGTAATGTTTTGCCTCTGGCAGTGTGGCGCTGCTCGCGCAGCCAGCTCCGTGGGGTAACAGCTCGGGAGGAAATGGCATCGCTGCCAACTGTTGAAAGCTTTTGTTGGGCATTCAGTGGGCAAGTTGGGCGTTTTTTGGCTGGTGGTGCTTTAAGTAGGCAGGTCGCAGCACCACGTGGACGCAGTGATGGTTATTGCTGTCCCGTGTGTGCACCGGCTGCTCCCAGAGACGAGAAGATGAAAAGGGTGAAAGAGGAGAAATAACCAGGCATCAGTGCTAGCGTACAGCAGCTCAGTCTGGGCGTAGCTGTGGCTCTGGAGGTGAAACTGTCAGAGCATTTGGTACTTGATTCTTAACCTTGCCCCTGTCAGGAAGGGAGAGCCCCGTGTCCTGTGTGCTGCCTGCACTGTAGCACTGCTTCTGCTGGACCTGAAGGTAGCGATTGCCTTAACCCTGCATGGAAATGGCACTGCCACGGACACCACCATCTTCTGGGCACTCGGTGCTGTGAGAGTGGGTGCTGTTGTGCTGCTTGGTGTCAGGGCTGGGGGAGCTGCGTGTCTGCCATGCAGGAACTGCCCAAGGAGCTTCAGTCTCAGATTTGATGTCATGGGAGGCTGGGAGTTCCGTGGAGACCCCGTACGTACCCCGTAAATAATCCTGGGTAGCCTGGGACGATCAGCTCCGTGTTGCTTGCCTGCTACCATTGGAGGTACAAGTGGTACAAGTGGCTGGAGGTGCAAGTCACAGCCTTCAGCTCCTCAGTGCCACGGCTGAGGGAGTGGGAGAACCTCTAGGCGGGCAAAGGAGGTGATGAAAGCACGTTGCCTACAAACAAAAGCAGAAGAGCCAAGTTGTGTGCTGTTTGCATATTCGGAGTTGGGTTGCAAGGTCAGTCTCAGCTGCTGAGCCTGAGCTGCATGCAGTTAACTGTAGAAATGGCCTTTTCTCTAAAGGACAGTTTCCTCCTTTCTTTTCTCTCCTGCGCTCTCTCTCTGCTCTCCCTGGCCTGGTACCAGCAGGTTCGGCTGCAGCTTTGGGACACAGCAGGCCAGGAGCGGTTCCGCAGTCTCATTCCCAGCTACATCCGCGACTCCACTATTGCTGTGGTAGTGTATGACATTACAAGTGAGTGCTGCTTCGCTGTCTCCTTATTTGAAGTACCGCATGTGAGCAGGAGTATGTGACCTCCACAAGTTCTGCAAAAAGTTGATTTGGTTTTCTGCCCAGGCGGAAAACGATTTGTGGGTAGTTTATATGTGGTGCGGGGACACCTCGAGAGCACCTGCATGCAGGTGTAGTTAGTTTCATAAGTGTTCTCCCTCACTTAAAACAGGCTTTGTCCTTAGCTTTCCCCTCTGTTTCCTCCCCGCAGACTTGAACTCTTTCCAGCAGACCTCCAAGTGGATCGATGACGTTCGGACAGAGAGGGGCAGCGATGTCATCATCATGTTGGTGGGGAACAAAACTGACCTGGCCGACAAGAGGTAATGGAGGGGAGCTGGCGGCCTCACTGCCCTCCCCAGGAAAAGCAAGGAGCTGACCAGCTGCTTTTTCTTTGCATGCGGAGATAAAACTTAGCTCAGATCAAAAAGATGCCTTGCCAAAGCAAGGGAATCTACCTTTTTTTTCCCTGGTCCTGTGAATGTGACCCTTCCTGTGTGCGCAGCTGTAAGATCGTAGTGAAGTTTCTTCATGTTACAAGATGCAGCATGAAATATTTCCCTTATCAGTCTAAAAGGTTGATCTCTGAACATAAATTGCATGCCGTAATGTGACACCGACTGTGATGTTGGAGGTGTGAGAGGAAACTAGATTACCAAAAGCAGACTTTCCCGAGAGACATAAAGTTAATTAGACTCTTAAAATCACATGGATTTCGTGTTTTAGGACATGTTGTAAAGCATTCTGCTTTTAAAATCAATCCTGGAGTGCTGCTTCAGCTAACAGAGCCAATGGAATAGATTCTTAGAGGGCTACAGGTCTGCACTTCGGCTTTTCTATTTCAGAATCATTTCTTGATTGCTGAATTAACTAAACTTGATTAATGTTTTCAGAGATTTTCCTTCTTTATGCAGCCATAAGTAATACTGTAGATAAGGAAGATTTCTCATTTCAGCGGTCAACTTCACTGGTAGTTGGCAAAGGGAAGTCGGTGTAAGCCACACAACTGCTTGCAGTCCCAATACTTTAAAGGGTTTCACACACACCAGCTATTCCTAAAGGTGTGGTTTGTGTATCAGGGGATACACGAAGCATTGAAGTGATGAGGAATTTTTACCTGGTGCAAAAGAGAACATGTCAGAAAGCACAGCTGGGAAATACACGGATCTCATAGCAAAGTGGAGTCTCTTAAAATCAAAACCTTATTCTTTGCCCGGTCATGAGACACTTCTGTTCAAAAGATAACACCTTAAAAAGCTGTTCTCCTCAAAAAAATCCTGCCCTAATATCTCAGTTGCCTGCTTGTTTGCTCTCTTTGGCATGATGGGCCTAACAGGAGTCTGGTTGTTTCATTTTGGATGCTGTCACATTTCTAATTCTAAACCTTGCTTCGCTCACTCCTGGTGTGTAAATACTGCTTCAGAATGTAGTGTGATTTGTTTTTTTCTTTGGGTGTTTGGTGTTTTGCAAATGCCTGTGTGAGACCACAGGCAGCATCCCTGGCTGCACAACATGGTGTTGGGAGATGCTTTTTGCCCTTTGTCTCTGCGCGAGTCATGCTGTCAGTTTTTAGTTTGCACAGACAGTACTAAAACTGACAGGTGGTTCGAGTCAGTGGGGAAAAAGATAACAGGAAGCTTTTGCTGAGTGCTGTGCAGGCTCTGCGCTGATGACACGTGGTGAAACCTGTCCTGTGTGCACCACACAGACCACCTCAGCCTTGATGTGTATTTTGCTTTTCCCAGTTCCAGTGGAGGTTGTTCTAAGTGACCTGTGCCTTGCGTGCCAGAAATGTTGGGGGAAGCCTGGTGCCTCAGAGCATCAGAAATGCAATAAATGTATGGAGCCAATTTGGATTAGGAGACCCAGGCAGCAAGAACTCAGAGCAGTCTGGGCTCTTAAGTCAGCTCACAAAAGCAACTGAACAAAATCTGGGATGTTGTCCTTGAGACAGCTCTGTTTGTTGGCCAGGTGCACAAGGTGCACGTGTTTGTACACAAATCAGTAGTAGTACTATTATAATCATTGCTGTTATTATTATTTTTGTTGTTATTATTTTCCTGTCTTAACAAACTGTCTTTATCTCACCTCATGGGATTCACTTTCCCATTTCTCTCCCACACCCCAGAGAGGGTGAGCGCACGGCTGCGTGGTGTTTAGCTGCCGGCCGGGTTAAGCCATGACACTACTTTACGTCACTCCCCATTTTCTTTTGGAACTGGAAAAGCCAGTGGGGTAATTTCTGCCTTGATGTATTTCCAGGTGGTTCAGAGGTAGAGTGTGTGCACAGGACAGGTGGCCCAGCACTGCCATACAGATATATATACCAGAAACGTGTGTGAAAAATAGTAACAGCTGGGCTCTGTGTAGCACTAAATTCCTATTTTAGGAGTTTGATGTAAGTGTCAGTAGTCCTGGTCTAGGCATGAGTGTGGAATTAGGGCGTATATTCAGCTATTGTTAAAAGAAACCACTTTGCCTTGACCAGAGAGAAAGTTAGATCTGTGGCACGCTGAAATGCTGGGCCTCTTAAAGCTGGACAAAGCCACAGGATCAGCTTGAGCCTCAGCACATCTTTGGGGAAAAACAAAAAAGAGCATATTGGAAACCATTCACCCTGTGGTAACAACCAAGTGATGATGCAAGTTAAGTTCTGGTGCCAGAAAGCTGAACTCAGAATAGGGCTGCTTTCATTTGGTGCAGCCTGTTCAGTTTTTCTCTCCTACTAACGTTGCTTCAGTTGGTAGCTGTTTGGTTTTTGTTTTTTTCCCTGCAGTTTTCTTTTCTTATCATTTTTGAACTGTCGTTTTTTGGTTCGGTTTGGTTTTTCTTTCCTGTGATTTGTTCTCGTTGCTGTAGACAGGTTTCTGTAGAGGAGGGTGAGAGCAAAGCCCAAGAACTGACTATGATGTATGTTGAAACCAGTGCTAAAGCAGGATGTAATGTCCACCAGGTATGTACAGGGTGTTGGTCAGAGCATTTCCAGGCGCTGGCTCACACGCAGCAGCACAGCACTTGCCGTTGCACTTGCTGCTGGAGCCTTTCTGATGTCGTTCTGTAATCTCGTAGAGTTCCCTTCTGGTGACTTTTGGGAAACTGCATTCTGCAGCAGGTGCAGCTCCTGGGGAGTCTTCTTTCCCTTGAGGATGCTGTGAATGAGACTCGAGTGTACCACACAAACTTGATCCTGTGCCGAACGTCCTTTATTAACGGTCCTGAGTCCAGGTGTTCCCTGAGTAACTTTCCTAAGTTGTTTCTGTCTTAGCTGGAGAACCCAGGGGTCCTAAAGACTCAGAGGTCCCGAGGTCTCCATCTGTGGGCTGTGCTCTGTTGTAAGGGGTGGTGAAGAGGCCCTCCACTGACAGCGTTTCAGTCACGTATCTAATTCTTCCTGTCTGATTTTCCTTTTTGTCTTTCTGCTTTTTTGCACCTTTATCCAGGCAAATCACTACGGAAGAAGGTGAACAGAGAGCCAAAGAGCTGAACGTGATGTTTATCGAGACCAGTGCAAAGACTGGATACAATGTGAAACAGGTAGAGCAATGTTCTGCTTTATAGACAGGAAATGTGTGCTTTGCTGTCTGCTCTGTGGGAGGATTAATGCTGCTTAGGGCTTTTATTCCCCCAGATGCCTGTATTCTTTATTGCCAGGCCCCGAAACGCTTCTTGCCCAGCGGTCAGTGCTGCTGCTTTACCTAGTGGAAGCTTCCTTCCTGTTGTCCCAACAATCCCCTGTTAAAGCAAAGGAAGCTTAACTCGCCTTGAAAGGAAGGAGACTCTAAAAACAGCATGTGCTGAGCAATAGGAATGTCACTGCTTAGTGCCGCCTGTCAAACACAATTCTGTGTTTCCTTTGCTTTTGTTAACCGTTAATGCACTGTTGTCTAAAATTGCTGTTGACATCAGGCAGGGTAATAGCATGTGCTGATGCACTGGAGTGGAGGTTCCTGGCTCTGTTGGCAAGCTGCAGAGAGAAACCATAGAAGGATTGAGGTTGGAAGGGGTCTCTGGAGATCATCTAGGCCAGCCCTCACGCTCCTAGAGTCAGCTAGAGCAGGCTGCCCAGAACTGCCTCCACTTGGGTCTGGAATATCTCAAAGGATGGTGACTCCATCTTTCCAGGCAACCTGTTGCAGTCTTCAACTACCCTTACATTAAAAAAAAAATAATAGTAAGCCCACATTTTTTATACATTTAAAGAAAATTTCTTGTCTTTTGATTTGTGCACAATGCTTCTTGCTGTAAACTCATGAGGCCATTCACCCCTGGTTCAGAAATTGCTCTGAAGCACGACAGAACTTGAAGGATAAGGCAGCTGTGAGGCCTGGGTATCATCAGAAAGCATGAGCATGGTTGGTGTCAGGAAGCTCCTGGCTGGGATACGCACTTCCTACTTTGCTGCACACCAGCTGGCTGGGAGAACCTGACAGTGGGATTAGGAGACTTTGGTTTTGTTTCTTTGAGCTGTTCTGGATATAATCCACTTTAATCTTTGGTTCTAGTTTACTGTTGCTTTATTTGCTTAGTGGGTGTTTGCAGTGAGAATTTCTGTGGCTAAGATTGTTAAGGGCAGGTACTGATGGCAGCAGCTTGTTCGTGCCTCAGTGGCTTGATTCTCCAAGTAATGCAATTTGGAGATGTGGATGAAAAACCACTGCCAAGCTACTGGGAGGAAAAATCATCACCATCAGATGATTCCTCTGGTTCTTTAAATAAAAGATCTTTGCAGCATTTTTCACCAGCCGCCTCATGGTGTCTGTATTGTTTGCTGCTTCGTTAATGTCAGCAGGAGGAGCTCTAAGCACTGACTAGAAAAATTATGCAAAACCATTTTCTGTTTTTCTGGGGATATGCTAGTCATTCCCAGCTCTAGCATATCCAGAGTAGCTTATGTGCAGCTCACTTGAGCCAGCTCAAAGCAGGACTGAACTGAAAGGTCAGCTGTAAAACCTTACTTATTCCATAGACTTCTTGAGCAACCTCCCAACAGACCAAAGGTTTGTCAGCAGTCCCAGGTACAGCACTGTAACGTTGTTGTGTGTAAAAGCAGTTGAGTCTGGAAATGGGAAATTGTAGCCTCTGACTTGCTTACTGAGTGCAGGAGGGAGTTCTTCTGTGCACCCCTAGAAGAACTGTTTGTGTTGAAAAAGAACTCCACGTTCACCTCAGTTAGGAACAGAAAAACATAAATCACCTGCTCTGCAGGCAGTCCATAACGTAATTGGTTTAACCAAGCCTGTTGGGTTTCTTGTGGAAAAACATATTTGTTCAATTCCCGGATCTGCTGTATAGCAATGTTTTGTTCTAACATGCATTTCTTTCTGACAAGCTTTTCGCTTACCTATTGCTATTTTTCAGCTTTTCCGTCGTGTGGCTGCTGCCTTACCCGGGATGGACAGCACACCAGAGAAGAGCAAAGAAGACAGTATCCTTGTTTTCTCATCGGCAGATCTCCTGCTGTCACGGGGTTACCTTTGGCAGATTGGGCTTACGGACTTTTTTTGCACATTGTGGGGATCGTGGGGATGGCTCTTGCTGGGCTTTTGCAGACACATGGCTGAAACCATGTAGTGTGGTGTTTACCTGTGCCCATCAATTGTGGCCCCTGCATAAATGTAGATAAATATTAGAAGCGTGAGCACTCCACTTAAACTTGGAGTAAAGCTTGCACAGTTTTAAAATACCGTAACATTTTCTTTTCTTTGCACAGGGCTGTTGTGTGTGCAGACATGTCCAGCTAGGTGCTGTGCTCTAAATGGGTTTGACATACCCAGTCCCCTGGTATTGTGCCTAACCCTGTGCAGGCAGGATGTGTTCTGCTCAGCTCTGCAGCTCCAGGGCAGCTGGCAGCATTTTCAGATACTGCTCGAGTTCTCTGTTCTCTAGCTCTTGGTTCTTATTTTCTTTCCCTTGAGATGGGTGATTTCCTTAACCCATCCCCTTCAGTGATCGACATCAAACTAGAGAAACCTCCTGAGCAGCCAGTCACGGAGAGCGGCTGCTCCTGCTAACAGCCCCGTTCTGTAGCAGCACGTTCCCCGACCGGCCAGTCTCACGGAAGAACATCACTGCTCATTGGCTAGGCAACCCTCCTGTGGGCTGAAAACCAACCTACTAAGCGAGCGAACTCCCTGTTTACTGGTGGGGAGCAGCCCCGGCCGCCCCTCTTACTGCATGGTATGAGCCTTGAGTGCAGAATGAGTGTCCTGTCTTTTATTTTGGTTTATTTTTTATGTTGGTGCACTTTGGCACTGTGGTGCCCTTTACACTCTCTCTTTCTCTCTCTCTTCCTCTCCCTCCCTCCTCCACCTCGAGCCTGTCTGCTCAGATGTATCTTGTGAATGCCGTGGAAAAGCCACTGAGTTAGGGAAAACAAGAATCAAGCTTGGGGGTGGGTTGTCCACCTTCCTTTACTGCCTTGCATCTTAACTAGCTCCCTGTTCACTCCAGCCACGTCTGTCCTGCATCCCCACTTCCTCTGTTTCAAGGCTGCTCCTTCTAAACCAGTCTGGCTGACTTGGCCTTGCCTTTCTGGACAGCACAGGTTACCCGGTTCTAGGCTTTTGCTTCCCGCAGGGCGCACACAGTGCTAGCTCCTCGGTTTCTCCTTTCTGTGGATGATCTTGGCTAACTCTTGCTCACGACTTCTGAGTTTTGCCCTACGCTCAGCCCCTCGCGACACAGAGCCCCGGCAGCCCCCAGACTGATAGCTTTGACCTTGGTGCTCCCGTTTGCGTAGCAGAGGCATCCCACAGGGCGCTCCCTTCAGTGGGAATATCTTCCCATCTGGAGGCTGCTGGTGCTTGGTGAGTGCTGGCTGTCAGATGTGGAGGAGGAAGCGGGTGCAGAGGCTTTGCAGCACGAGGCCGGGTGGGGAGAGATCCTCAGGGGGGTTTGTAGGCTCCTGGCTGCCAACAGCGAAGGAAACAGCTCTGTGGGGTCCATCGCTGCAGGAGCAACACCTGCCCCGGGAGTCACGGATGCCTTTCAGGTTCCTTTCCTCCTCTCCATCCTGTTCACAGTCACACAACCTCAGAGTTGCTTCTCAGATGCTGGGAGAGCCCCAGCAAAGTGAAGGCCAGTGATAGCTTTTCTGCTTTTGTACCTAGGTTGCTGCTTGGTGAAATCACACACAGCTGCTTCTGCTTTTGTAGTAGACTTACGGGGGGTGGGGGCTACTAGACACGTCACTTTGGGAATCATGGTAAGCTGTGACATTGCCAAAACAGATCAGTGGTAGCAGGGACTTGTTACCAGGCACGGCTAGAGGAATGTACGCTGCTGAAGTGCGTTTTGGTGTCGCTTCTGGACCTCCAGGGTTGGGAAATACCTCGCTCTTCCCCCAGCTCTCTACCCCTGGTTTCCAACAATGTTAGTAGAGCTCTTCAGAAACCTTTATTGTGGGTTTGTGCGTTTGTTTTTTATCCCCCCCTTCCGTCTGCTCCAGAAGTCAGGAGGTTTGTCTGTTGACAGAGAGGAGAACGAAGCAGCCAGACGGCTGTGAGCCATTCCCTGTTCCTTTTCTCAGCCGGCCTGTGTCGGGGGTGCTGGTGGGCAGGAGCAGGAGGCACTGGGTGCTCAGGGCACGACCCCCTGGCGGTGTTTGGCGGGTTGGTGACACTCCCCCAGCACGATGCCTGGTCGGTCACTGACACAGCGTGTGCACTTTGAAACCTGCGGGCTGGGGATGGAGGGGAAGGGGCAGCCTTGGCCCGGGAGCTGGAGGAGCTGCGTCCCTTCCCCTCCACATGAGCCGGCTGCAGGAGGAAGCTGGGATGTGGCTTCCCATTTCACTCTGGAGTGTCCCCCCCTCTCCCCTCCTTACCTGCCATCCCAGCCGGGTCCTTGGTGCCCCGGCAGGGAGCTCGGCCCCCTCTCTGTACATACTCCTGTCGTGTGGGAATTGCTGATGTTTGTCGGTGTGTCTGTCTGCCGTAGAACAGGTTTTGCTCTCCCCTTCTTTCTCACGGGCAGGCGTGCGCGGCCCCTGCTCTCGTATTGTTCTGAGTCACGGACCTGGGGGGAGGGAGGGGGGGACCGTAAGTAACGGGGGGGTAACTAGTGAAATAAAATAGTTCACTTCCCACTGTCTTCTCTATGGATGTGTATTATATTGAGTGTGTGTCCGGCCCTGCTGTCTCCTAGCTGTTAGCCAAGTAAGTGTGACTATTACTCTGAGTATGGACTGTCTGACCACAGCCGTGTATCACACTAAATAAAGTTATTTCACCAACGCCTCCTCTCTCCTGCTTCCCGAGCCAGCCGGGGCTCGGGGCGGCCGCTGGGGGCGGGCGCAGCGGGGGCCAGCCCGGAGGAGGGTGGAGGCTGGGGCTCCGCGCTCCGTCCCGGCACAAGGAGCGGGTGCCCCGCATGGAGCGGGTGCTGGTGCCCGACGCTGACGCCTTCCGCGCCTTCCAGCAGCGCTGCCAGGACGGGGGCTGGCAACGGGACTGCGGCGGCCTCGCCGTCTGCCTGGAACCCCCGCCACCGGGCTGCACTGTGCACCAGCTGAAGGTGGGCACTGCGGGTGGCAGTGGCACCAGGGTGGGTGGGTGGGTGGGTGGGTAGAGCCCAGCCCCTGAGCTCTGGGTGCTCCCCGCAGTGCCGCATCGACATCCCCGAGGTGGCGGCGGGGACGGTGTACGACGTGCTGCACGACGCCGAGTACCGCCGCCAGTGGGACACCAATGTCATCGCCAGCCACGACATCGCCCGGGTGGCTGCCAATGCCAACGTCAGCTACTACGCCTGTGAGTGGGGCCCTCCGGTGCTGGAGGCTCTCGTGGGGCCCGTCCTGCTTCTGTTTGGGGCATGGCTCAGGGTCACTGCCACGAGAATTGGGCTGGTGAAGGGCATTGGGATCACGACACCAGCTCTGGAGGGTGCTTGGGCAGGGCTATGGGCCCCGTACGCTGCTGGGGCCCGGGAAGCAGCTTCCTTTTTCTTCCCCTCCTTGTCTAGGGCGATGCCCAAAGCCCTTAAAGAACAGGGACGTGGTGACACTGCGGGCCTGGCAGGTCGAGGACGGCTGTCACACCATCCTCAGCTTCTCGGTCAAGCACCCGGTGAGTGCTGGGGGGGCCGGGCTGGCCCTGAGATCCCACCCGGGATAAACCGGGACCCCCAGAGCCCTTTGCAGGTAGGGACAAATTCCTGGCCGAGTCCTCAGCTCGAGGCAGCTCCTCCAGCCTCATTGCTTGGTGTATTTGGTGCCAAAACAGAGAGGGAGAGGGCCGGGAGGGTGGAGGATGGTGCCTGACGGCCTGCTGTGCTCACACAGAAATACCCCCCGCGCAAGGACCTGGTCAGGGCGGTCGCGCTCCTCATGGGGTACCTGGTGTGCCCCACCGGGCCCAGCAGCTGCAGGCTCACCTACCTGGCACAGGTGGATCCGAAAGGTAACTGCTGCTGCTGGCCTCGGGGTGCTGACACCAATCCTGCTCAGAATTCCTGAAATCCTGCTCAGAATTCATGGGGCAGCCACGTAAGGTGGCCCTCCCCTGCTCCAGCCCCCCCGGCGTGTGTTGGTGCTGACGCTGGGAGGAGCACGGCCCTCTCCTGGCACGCTAACTTCTGTTTTTCCTTCCCCCCAATCCATCAGGGTCGCTGCCCAAGTGGGTCGTGAATAAAGTTTCGCAGTACCTGGTGCCGCAGGTGAGCGGAGAGCTCCCAAATTTCCAAGGGGGTGTGCCCAGTGCCTGGCTGGAGCACGGGGCTGTGGGGTGGGGGCTAGGTGGGAAAAGTGCCAAGCTCTCAGCTTCCACCGTTGTCCCCCCTGTGCTTCCCCATTTCGGAGCAGATGCTGAAGAGACTGCACAAGGCCTGCGTGCAGTACCCTGCCTGGAAGCAGCAGCACGGCCTGAACGTGAAGCCCTGGCTGTACCCCGAGCAGAACGAGCTTCCCGAGCTGGCGCTGTCGGCGCTGGCGCTGCAGCACGGCGCCTCGCTGGAGGACATCGACGAGAGCGGCCTGGCCGAGGCGAAGGACGAGAGCGGCGAGCACGGCGGTGCGGAGAACTGATGCTCGTGGTGCTGCTCAGTCTAGTGGGTTACAATGAGGTGTGGGGGGGGGGACAGGGAGATTTTACACAAAAATCCCCACGTTTGTGGCCTTTCGGGCTGCACCCACCTGGTTGAATCTGCTGTGCCTTAGCACAGAGCCTGTCCTGGGGCTGTCGCTGCTGCTCCAAGAGGTGGAGCCGGGTGCTGTGCCTCTGCCGGGCTGATTTAATGGCTGGGGAGTTACTCATTGACAGAGCGAGGCTGCTCGTGGCCTCTGCCACTGCTCCGTCAATTAAAGCTACTTAAACCCTGGCTGGTCCTGGAGAAGAATCTGCTCCTTCCAGTTGGGGCCATGTCGTGGTGTCACCGAGCGGTTCCCGGGGTGGTGCTGCCGCTGGGCAGGGCCAGGCTGCCTGCAGCTCTCCCAGGCGAGGCCCCAGCGCTGCAGGCCTGACCTTCCTCCTCCCCGAGAGACGTGTGGGTGCTGCAAAATTGGTGTGAGCCAGGAGACAGACGGGGCTCGTGGAAGATCTCTCAGTTGACCTTCTCAGGCTGGTGTTGGGGGTGCTCCTGGCTGCTGCTTTCCCTGGCAGAAAAACTGTTGGTTTTATTTTTCTTACATATTTTTTTTCCCTAGCATATCTAATTCTACTGGCCCAACTTTATCCCCCCCAGTGTTTGAGCTAAGGCGGAGCTGGAGTTGCTTTAGGGTCGCTGCTCCTGCCTTGACTGAGGCGCTTTGGTGCCACCACAGACAAAACCCCGCGTTGCAGCCCTTCCTCCTCCTGCCAGTGCTGTAAGGCCACTGCAGAGTAATCACGGGCTGACTTCCATCGCAGCCGGTGCAGAAACACCCCGGTGAGTGAGCTGCACCTGGCACAGGTCCCACAGCTTCCTCCTGCAGGCTGCAAGGCCAACTGGAGCCAACCTTTGTCTCAGCCGAGCCGGGCATTTCCTCGGGGCAGTGCTGAGGGTGGCAACGAATCCTCCCGAGACCTCCTGAGTAGGAACGAGGCGAGCCTGGCTGCTGTACTAGTTTTATTATTTCAGTTATTACAGGTAAGTGGAAAACACCGCAGAGAAGGCCAGAGCGGGGGCTGTCCCGATACCATTTACAAGGTGATACTACCCCAATTTGCACCCAGCTTTGCTGATAACCCCAAAGTTCTCAGCTGTGCTCTCCCAGCACAGGGCCCAGCAGGCTTCCTCCCCTTTCTCAGCAGGACAGCTGCCACCCCACCACTTCAACAGCAGGAGGGGGAATTGTCCCAGCAGGAGAGGAGCTGGCTGAGGAAAAAGGGAGTTTACCTCCAAGTAGCAGGGAGATCTGATGGGAGCACCTGGAAGGGACAGGGCTGTGCCAAGAGAAGGAAGCAAGTCCAGCAAGTGAAACCCTTAACACAAGCACCACGCGTGAGGGAAGCTGGCTACGTGTCACTGCAATTTAGGAATGTGCTCCAAGTGTCCTGGTCCTGTCCCACAGGGGTTGTTAAGCAGTGACACGGTATACGCATGCCTTGGAGACGAGTGCAGCTAGAGATGTGCATTGAGTTTGCCTGGATTTCACTCCCGTTTGTATCCCAAGCAAACCCAGGAGTGTAGAGCAGAGGTAGGACAGTGGAGAGGGAAAGGATTTCATGTCACCAGAGAAGGGAACAGGCTGATCTCTTGGAGGACTAAGGCCATGTTCTGCTCCAGCATGCTCAGACCCAGCCTTACATCCTAGCAACAAAAGCTGGATCCAGAACCTGCCGAGCACTCCTTTCAGTTACATCCTACAAGAAGAGAAGCACAGATCGTGCTGGACAAGCTGTCTGCTGGTACCCACATCCACACCAGCACCATCAGCTTGTTTCACCACCCAGCTGAAGGAGTACAGACTGAAGCCTCATCCATCTTCCAGCTAAACAGGCTCTGTGGTGTCCTCCGAGCAGGAAGCAGAGCCGAGGCCCATGAAGTTGTGCCTCCAGTGACAGCTGAAATTTGACACGGCATCTCAGATGTTGAGGAAAGGGAGTGGAGAGTTTTTCTTGCAGGACAGCCGCTCTGGAGAGGACCCAGCAGACAGCTGCCTACTAGTGAACAGTTCTTTCCTTCTGTCTCTGGTAATCTGCAAGAGAGAGAGAAGGCAAGGCTGGAAGGATAAAAGTGTTTGTCGATGGTGACTGTCAACAGTGAGGGGGAGTTAGCTAAGATGAGCTGGTTTTAAAATAGCACATTTCCATCCCAGCCATTGTTTCAAGTTATTTTAGGACACGTAGAAAAGAAGTTTGCTTTGAAGTCCTCCCTTCCCTTGCACCTTAATTTCCTTCGCTTTCATTTAAGGATCAGTTTCCATTTTATGAAGAATCCTTGTCTGGCTTCCCTTGACTTTCCTCCCTCCTTCCCCCCAGTATCTCTGGGCATTATGTGTTCAGCAACCAAGAGTTAAAAATTTGGTGATTTTTTTCTCATTTTGACAACATTTAAACATCCTTTGAGACAGAGATCAGGCAGACTGGCCAGGATACATGGTGGTCTGCTTCCCAGGGAGAAATGCTGCAAGGTGAGCAGACTCAGAGCCGGCAGGCACTTACTGTAGGGGAAGTAACGCACTCGCATGGTGATTTCACGGGCTGTCTTCAGGATCTCCACAGCCTGAAAACAGAAAGAGCTGATCAGTAACCAGGGAGGGCTGAGGATAGGAAAGAGCAGCGCATCAGTTACATGGTGCTGTTGGCTGAGAGGCAGAGAGATGTTGGGGTGCGCACAGCTTCTCCTCGTCCTGCTGGGACGACGACGAGAGCACGCTGAGGCGCAGGCGTGCTCACCTTGCTGTGCTCGATGTCCTGGAAATCCACATCGTTCACCGACAGCACCTGGTCCCCTTCCTGCAGCCCAGCTCTGTGCGCGTCCGAGTCGGGGATCACCTGCGAAGGGCAGGGCAGAGGCAGCAGCTCAACACCACAGCTCCCTTCCCACACGGGACAGGCTGCCTGGCCCCAGGACCCTTCACAGCGCCCATGCAGTGCGTTCATGAGGGGAAGGGGCCAGGGGACACACACAGGACCTGTGCCATGGGACACACCTTGGAGATGAAGATGCCCAGCTGCGAGGCCTTCCCTCCACGGATGTTGAAGCCCAGCTGCAAGACAAGGCACACACTGACCATAGCACACAGCAACAGCTCCCTGCTCGTGTCAGCTCCTCGCCCCCCCTCAGCTCCCGTGGGGGGGATTTGAGGAGGATGAGGGGTTCCGGGGGGGGGGGTCCTACCTGCGCCCCGGGCGGCTTCTTGAGGACGACGGTGCGGGGCAGGAACTGCGTGAGCTCGTTGTTGTAGTCGGGGTGGTAGAGCCGCTGTGAGGGGGAGAAGAGAAGGGAGAAAAGGAGAGAGAAGAGGAGAGGAGGGCGGTGAGGCGGCAGCAGCCCCCCGCTGCCCCCAGCCCCTCGCTGCCTCCATCCCCGCGTCCCCCCCACCTCGTGCGGCGGCACCCATGCGGGGGGGCTCTCGTAGGGCGGCAGGAACACCACCGGGAAGTCGTCGTAAGGCAGCCGGGCCTCCATGGCGCCTCTGTCTCCTCCCTTCCCCTCATCTCCTCCCCTTGCCCGCCCCGCCGTGACGCGCCGCCATGTCTTTGGCCGCCCCGCCCCGCCGCGCCGATTTGAACGCAACGGCCCCGGCCGCCATCATCTCCTCAGCCCGGCCGAGCTCCGCCGTGTGTCCCCCCCCAAAAAAAACCTCCGAGATGGTGCGGGGGGAGGACGAGAAGGGCATCCCCGTGCGGGTGGCGCTGCGCTGCCGGCCCCTGGTGCCGAAGGAGACGAGCGAGGGCTGCCAGAGCTGCCTGTCCTTCGTGCCCGGCGAGCCGCAGGTGGTGGTGGGCAGCGACAAGGTCTTCAGCTACGACTTCGTGTTCGACCCCACGGTGGAGCAGGAGGAGGTCTTCAACACCGCCGTCGCCCCCCTCGTGAGGGGCATCTTCAAAGGTGGGTGCCAGGAGGAGCCGGGAGCAGGCCCCGCGGGGTGCTGAGTCCTCATAAAGCAGCTCTCGGGGCTCCACAGGAGCTGAAAGGCCCGGGAGTTAGGCTAAAAGGTCCAAAATGTCAAATATTCGGGAGCTAGGCTAAAGGATCCAGGAGCTAAGCTACAGGGACAAGGATCTAAGCTGAAAGGAGCTAGGCTAAAAGGTTCTGGATCTAAAGGACCCTGGATGTAAAGGATCCAGGATCTAAAGGATCTGGGATCTAAAGGATCCAGGATGTAAAGGATCTAGGAGCTAGGCTAAAGGATCCAAAGGATCCGGGATCTAAAGGATCCAGGAGCTGGGCTAAAAGATTGTAGTGGGTTTATGTGGCAAGGTTTTGGTAGCAGGGGGCCATAGGAGTGGCTTCTGTGAGGAGGATCTAGAAGCTGCCCCATGTGTGGTAAGGGCCCCACTGCTGACCAGAGCCGAGCCAATAAACGATGTTGTTTTGCGTCTCTGTGAGAGTATGTTTAAGACAGGGAAAAAACGCTGCGCAACACAGCAGCTGGGAGAGTGAAGGGAGTGAGGAATGGCACCAAGGTCAGTGTAGAAGGAGGGGGAGAGGTGCTCCAGGCATGGAGCAGAAGTCCCCTGCGGCCTGTGGTGAGGACCATGGTGAAGCAGGATGTCCCCCTGCAGCCCATGGAGTACCACGGTGGAGCAGGGTTCCACGCTGCAGCCCGTGGAGGAGACCACGGTGGAGCAGGTGGCCCTGCACTGACGGAGGCGGCTGCCTGTGGAAGACCCCTGCCGGAGCAGATCCCAGGCAGGATCTGTAGCCTGTGGAGAGGAGCCCACGCAGGAGCAGGTGACCTGGCAGGAGCTGCTGCCCGTGGGGGAGCCAGGTTGGAGCAGTTTGCTTCTGAGGGATGGATCCTGTGGTACGGACCCATACCTGGAGCAGCTCTGGAAGAGCTGCTGCCTGTGGGAAACCCACGCCGGATCAGTTCATCAGGGACTGCATCCTGTGGGTGGGACCCCACAGCACAGGGGACGAGAGTGACCAAGGAGTGGCAGAGAAGTGCTGTGGACTGACCATAACCCCCATTCCCCCGTTCCCCTGCGCCGCTCGGGGGGAGGAGGTAGAAGAGGGTGGATGGGGGGGAGGTGCTTTTGGTTTCTTTCCTTTGTTTCTCACTTCTCTAGCTTGTTAGTAATGAGCAATAAATCTTACTGTCTCCCTATGCCGAGTCTGTTTTGCCCGTTACAATAATTACTGCGTGATCTGCTTGTCCTTCTCTCAACCTTTGAGCCCTTTTCATCGTATTTTCTCCCCATTCCTCTTTGAGGAGGGGGAGTGAGAGA